GGAGGCAAACAAGACCTTCCATGTTTGTGAATCAAGTTCCTATTCTAGAGCTCTACCTAGCCCCTAGATCCTATAATCTTCAACAGCTGCCAGCAAGATATACTCTTCATCAACTCTGGAAATTGATCTTCATTCCTTTAGTCTTCAATGGCTTCATCAGCAAAGTCTTCAGCTCCAACCCAAACCCCAAGCAGGCCCAATACCCCACACAATCAAACAATAACCCTAAAAAGGGCACACCACACAATCAATCAAATACAAGAGTATACTAATAGCATTAACATAATAGGGGAACTTCTAGCATTTTCTAAGGGATCTATCACTTACCCATAATACCCCTACAATCCCATCTTCTAATTTGTCCTAAAGAAAACCCAAAAAGAAACTTGTTTTGTTATACCTATATTATATTCACAACCTTAATTGACTATCCTAATAGTTTCTAACTAAACTACCTAAAATAAATCCTAAAAAATAGTATAAAAATCAGGGGGGCACCTAATATCCATATCTAGTTATACTAAAAAGAATGGGGTGAAAATCCTAAAGGAAGCTCCTAAACTAAATTCAACAAATAGTAGCATAAACCAAAAGAATTAAAAAAGCTATTAAATGTAAAAATATGCAAAAAAATATGGAAATGAAGTAAAATGACAATTTTATGTTTTCATATTTTTCTAGACAGAAAATAGAAAATGGGAAAAAAAAATCTCATTAAAAAATATGCATTTTTCAATTTATTATGAATTTTTGAAGTTTAAAGAAATTTGGAGAAAAAATTAATATGAAAATGGATGAGGGGTGCAAGAAGTAATAAAATGCAGTTAAATTGGATGATGGGCCCAGAAGGGGGTGCGCCTAGCAAGGCGCGCCTGGGCCTAGTTTCTATCAGAAAAAAAATCAAAAATAAAAACAAACTGAACGGTGCGAATAGCATGTATTATAGTGCAATGCAATTGGGCTTGGACAAAGGGGGGTGGGGAGAGCAATGCGTGTGAGCCCAACTAGCTCACTAATCCAAAACGCAGCGTTTTGGCTGCAGCTGCTTCCCTTCATTCGCGAGTTCGAATCCCAGCCATTGGATGGCTTTTCCAGTCAACCTTCAACGTGCAATCCGCCGGTCCTCATGTTGTCTTCAACCTTTGGATGTTAGGGTTTCATAAACCTCCATGAACATAAACTCCATGCACCAATCTTCATCTTCTTCGTTCTCTCTATTCTCCATCAAATGCCATGATCCAAGAACCAATTTTGTCTAGAATTTTATGTAGAATCCAACCATGCCATTAGATTGCATTAAAACTCTTTCTATCATCCTACCCGAACGATACAACATCAAGAATCCAAACTTTATTCAATTTTCAACCATCACAAAACTCAACAATCTTTATATATAATTAATCCCTATGCCATGCTGATTAAAACCAACCAAAATTCGTGCATTATCATCCATTAAATAGTGTGTTCTACCTCCATCAAGAATCAACCTCCATTAATGAAACCTCACTAATCGGTCTTAAACTCATCCAAATGAATCACCTAATGGTCTCTAATGGTTTCACAACAAGAATCAATCCTAGCCATGCCTAAATCAGAGTGTGGGAAAGATTTTGCATACCTTGACCCTTGCAATGGTAGGTGTTGGAAAGCTTCGAATCATACCTTGTAGATCTTCAATAATGGTCCCTAGGTGATGAACAATACTCTGCTTGCACAAGATTTGATGGAGATGGCTTGTATCTTCAGATCCAATCCCTTTTGCTCTCTTGCAACTTCACTTGAAAAGCTCCAATTCTTCAACAATGGGGGCTCACTCTAGCATGAACATGTTCAGGGAGGTTTGTAGTGATGATTTGTGGAAAAAAATGGAAGGGTAATGAAGAGAAAAATGAAGTTTCAATATAATTTGCAAAATGGAGAATTTTGGTTCAAACTCTTTTCTCTACCACCATTAACATCAACAATCACCAGCCTCTCACCAATGGAGATTGAAATTAATATATAGGCTGATTTAGAAGGGTCTAGAATCATCTAGATCAATCTAGTAGAAACTTGAACTTTCATGAAGTGATACTTTGCATTTCCATTCTCACCATATGAGATATCATGACAAAATCCTTACAACTTGAGTAATTATCTTCATTTTCTCCTTAAGTGGTATTTTGGACAAGATACAAAGCTTAAACACCTTGTTTATGAACCTTTTCCTTGTTTTGGTTTGGTATGCCATTATGCAATCAAGCAAATTACAAAGCAACCCCAAGATTTAAGCCTCAAATCAAAATTGTGGCTGAACCATTGTTCTTAAAATGTCCTTGGGAGTCAAAATGACCTATCATATGTCATGGTTTGGATTTGGAACTTGGATTTTAGGATTTTCCATTTCACTTGAATTAACTTATACCTCATTTTTAGGCCATTTTTATCACTTTTTTCTATGAGCCTTTTCAACATCTCATGACCACCCTACTAGCCTTAAAACGTCATTCTAAGCAACTTTGATGTTGAAGGTTTTTCCATTTAAAGCTTGGAAGTAGGAGATATGGCCATATGCTTGAAATGACCCATAATTTCCAAATGACCAAAATGCCCTTTGCTTGCCAAAGTCATAAGTAGAGTTCCACAAATCAGATGAAGGCATACCATACCTTTCTAGAAAGCTAAGATCATGAGGAATAACTTTCATGTTGGCCAGAAATCCATTTGAAAGCTCCTGGAGGGGTAAAAGTTTCTTAGAAGTCAAGTAACTTTCACAGATAAATTTCAGTGTCCTCAGATGACCTGTAACTTGCAAGAACCATAACTTGAGTTATATAAATCTCCTTGATGTCTTCCACCACTAAAATTAAAGGTATTGAGATCCTATACAAGTTTCATGTTGGCCAAGGATCCATTTGAGACTTGCATTTTTAATTATCTTGCTTGGAAGTTTGCCCTAAATCAGGGGATTTTACACAGAAACCCTAATTCAGAAACTTCTCTTCTTCTTGATTTCTCTTTATTTCTCCTTGGCACAACACCACATCCATATCCACATGTCAAATGAGGCATCCCACATCTTTCAAACAGGCCTTGATGCCCTTCAATCAAGCATTTGACCTAGGGTTGACCTAGGGTTGACCCAGATGAAACCCTAGTTGACTGTCTTCAACTGCAGCTCTTGTAATCACATCAATGACTTGCCTCACTTTCAAAATGACCCTCTAGGCCTTCCATGATATCTGTACACATTCCATGCTTTCAATTCATAGCTCACAACTTCCCTGATGATCTTCAAATACCCTCAGGATAGGAGAGAAACCCACTGCTTGATCCACTGACTTCTTAGATTTCAATTTCTTTCTGATGACTTGGCTAAGATTGAATTTGAATAAGAACCACTTGATATGCCCATAGCGATAAGAATTTCATTTGGTCCCTTGTTGGATGGCTGGCTATGCTATGCTATGCAAATGATTAGACTATGTACATGACCTTTTATGCAAATGACAATGCAATTGAAACATAAACTAAGTGAAGTAGGTTGAGCAAATTTTAGGGTGCAACAGAAGGGTGTTACATTAGTGGTATCAGAGCCATACCTCTCCCAGTACGATGTGGTTCGGGGACGAACCAAGCGGAAGCTGGTGGGCATGTAACACCTGAGGTGAAAGAGGACGGTGGTTACATGTAACACCCGTGGGCGAGGGAGTGGTTGTCGGTGTCATGAGGCATGACAATGAGACACTCCTAGCAGCTTCTAGGGGAAAACCGAATTCCCATCCGAATGAGAGGGATCCTGAGGCTATGCAGGTATGGGACTGCATCCTTGAATGAAGGCTTATAAGGATTAATTGGTACTACCTATACCAACAAGATGCATCTTCTTTTCGGTAGCCCGTTCATAAGAACTCCACAGTTAAGCGTGCTTGACTTGGAGCAATTCTGGGATGGGTGACCTTCTGGTAAGTCTCTCGAAAAGCGTGTGATTGAGGACAAAGCATGCTGAAAAGACCCGTGTTGGTTTGTGGGGTCAGTCAGTAATCCTAAAAAGCAATATGAGGGAATGGTATCAGAGCCATACTCTCCCAGTACGATGTGGTTCGGGGACGAACCAAGCGGAAGCTGGTGGGCATGTAACACCTGAGGTGAAAGAGGACGGCGGTTACGTGTAACACCCGTGGGCGAAGGAGTGGTTGTCGGTGTCAATTCACATCCGAATGAGAGGGATCCTGAGTACGATGTGGTTCGGGGACGAACTAAGCGGAAGCTGGTGGGCATGTAACACCTGAGGTGAAAGAGGACGGTGGTTACGTGTAACACCCGTGGGCGAGGGAGTAGTTGTTGGTGTCATGAGGCATGACAATGAGACACTCCTAGCAGCTTCTAAGGGAAAACCGAATTCACATCCAAATGAGAGGGATCCTGAGGCTATGCAGGTATGGGACTGCATGGTTGAATGAAGGCTTATAAGAATTAATTGGTACTACCTATACCAACAAGATGCATCTTCTTTTCGGTAGCCCGTTCATAAGAACTCCACAGTTAAGCGTGCTTGACTTGGAGCAATTCTGGGATGGGTGACCTTCTGGGAAGTCTCCCGGAAAACATGTGAGTGAGGAAAAAACATGCTGAAAAAGACCCGTGTTGGTTTGTGGGATCAGTCTGTAATCCTGAAAGTATTATGGGGCGTTACAGATGGAGTCAAGAAAAGAGAACTAGCTCAGAAAGAGTGAATTCGAAAATAAATAAAAAAAGTTATCACTATTTCTACACTACACAAACAAAAAATAATCCTACATTCTCTTTCAGACCATTAAATACTTTCATTTTATTGAGTAATTTTTATAAAGTCAGTACCAATTCACTTAACAATATCATACATATACATTGACTTTAAACAACAACAAAAAATACTATATCACTAATAACTATGAGCAAATACTCTTTCCAAATGAATTCTCCTTTAACATGTGCACACATTAAACATCAATATCTTTCCATCATTTTGTACACAAACTTCATGGATGGTTTTCTTGGACCTCTTCTCTTTTAACATACCGAGACCAAAACCAGTGTTTGCCCCATATAGTATACATAGACTCCAAAGGAATTCCCTTAGTCTCAGGCAAGAAAAATATAATAAAAAACGTCATCACAACAACCCAACCCCCATAGAACAAAAAGGCTCCAAATTTAAAGTGACATAACATAGTCAAGAACGTTTGCGATAACACAAATACTATTATTAATTGCACAGCAACAGCTATGCTTTGTCCAGTGCTTCTTATATTTAATGGAAAAATCTCACTCGGAATTAGCCATGTTAGAGGACCCCATGACCAACCAAAACCAGCAGCGTAGAAACACAATAGCACCAATACCAATATTGAGTTTCCCTTTGATATTTCCTTTGTACCATGAACACCAGTCACCACTGCCAGCAGAATGGACACCGCCATCTTCACATTGTTCACACAAAGTATTCAGTTAGTATAAGACATAAAAATAGATAATTAGGTTTTAAATATATTTACTTACCAAGCAAATAAACATCATAATACCACCGGTTATGAACAAGAATCTTCGACCGAAACGATCAACAATGCCGGTAGAGATAAGGATAGAAGCAAGATTAACAACACCGAGTATAATGGCAGAAAGTAAAGCAGTATCATGTCCCAAACCAACAGATTGAAAGAGGTTAGGTGCATAGAAAGCAACAATGTTAATCCCAGTAAGTTGTTGAAAAAACGGGATTGCGAATGCCATGACCAAATGAGGTCGATACTCTCTTTTTAATATGGTTTTAAAGGGTTCTTGTTTTACTGATTTTGCGATCTCGTTCCACTTAATAAGTTCGTCTAGCTCAGGTTCTATATCGACGGAGGATCCTCTGATTTTTTGTAAGGATTTTCTGGCTTGGTCTATCTTGCCACGTTCAACCAAGCTGCTGGGTGTGTCGGTTATGAGGAAGGCGCCGATTACCATGACGGCTGCAGGGACGACGGCGAGACCGAGAGATAGTCTCCATCCCCATGTGTGTTTGGCGGTGGCGAAGTTTATGCAGCCGGCGGCAACGACGCCTACTCCTAAGAAGAATTGAAAGCCTGTGCTGAAAGCGCCTCGCCACTTTGGAGGAGCGATTTCTGATAGATACAATGGTGCAGCCTTTTTCAAGTGAAACATGTCAATGTTACATGAAATAATAATAATAATAATAATAATAATAATAATAATAATAATAATAATAATAATAATAATAATAATAATAATAATAATAATAATTGATGAATTTGAAAAAGTATTAATTGGTGAATTTCCTTTATTTATTATGTTGACAAGAACCTCACCTACTATAAACTAGAAACTCACCTATATTTGAATAAAAGTAGATGAATTTAATGGGATGTTGGCATTCCTTTTTTTTTCATCTACTAAAAAACTAGAATCTCACCTATATTTTCAATGAAAGTGAATGCATTTAATGAGTTGTCATTTCGTATTTTCCTTATTTGACTTTTTTTTTGGTTTGGAAGAGTAATAACGGATCCAGTAATAACATTTATAAGAGAAATGATATTTTTACATTTAGGACCACATTATATCGTAGTTGTATACGGTTTTGTTTTTTAATAATCTTTAATAATTATCTTTTCCTTTTTCCTCACACCCACCAACTCTTGCACATACTGTATTTTATAAGGTGTAAGTGTAACATGTTTAATTTTTGGCGTAGAAATAGCATCCCTCTAACATTTAATGATTCCGTTTATTGAATGCTATGATCCATATTTCAAGGGATCACGTGAATTATCAGATAGTTTTTGGGATGAATAAATATTAAATTTTGTAGATAATATCTATTCCGTTAATAATTTCATTTTCAACAATTAATTTTATAATTTAAATATATATACAACAATAATTATTAAAAATGTTACTGTACAGTTTATTGTCAATTTAGTCTGACGTAGCCAGCATAGAATTGTTAAAGGGGCAGTGATTTGCAAATCTGACTTGTATAAACAAAGGGAAAGTCAAAAAGAAATTTAAAAAAATTTGACTTATAATTTATTTATGTTAACATGTATTATCGTCAGGGATAAAATTTTAGATAAATAATTTATATTCATTTAATTAATGACTCACTTGATCTACAAACCGTTTAAAAGACAATATGTTTAAAAAGAATAATTAACTTATTTCTAAAAATGTTTCAAAAACAATTAATAACATAGTTTATGTTTTGAAATATTATTTTAAATTTTTATTAAAAACTCTTATTATTATTATTACCATTCTAACTGCCTAATATATATATATATATATATATATATATATATATATCAAATTTAAAAATAAAAATATTTATTAAATGTATGATAACGTGTAATAAGTAGATTGGACCATAATCTCACTCCTACATATGGATTCAACTCATCTACTACTAAATTTAGTCAATTTAATATATATTATTAATAGATAAATTCTTAGGTATCCAGGAATGAATTTAAATTGGGTATCCATTGTAAATTATGATAAAATTTTAATTTATTTTAAAATAAAATAAAATTAAAAAATAATTTGTATTAAATAATATTGTCTGATTGGTTAAAGATAATAGTATCCAATTAAAATAATGGATATGGAAGTGTCCACCTTATTAATAAATAATTTCAACGTTAACTATTACTATTTTAAATAAAAATTAAATAATATATGACAAAATCTACGAGTCATACATATTAGGCAACTCTAATATTTAATTTTGTCTTTTCAAAATATTTACTCATATTTATCTCCAATTTAGTAATTTTGAATATTAAAAATGAAAATAAAAAATTTCATTTAAATAACCAAATTAAAGAGTAAATAAAAATCAATGAAAAAATATTGTACAAACTAATTACTATATCATAATTTAAAATTATATAAATAAATAAAAGTGACTTACTTGATTAGTGAAACCAACCCCTAATCCAAGAAAAACACGACCCAATATAAGCATTGGAATATTTTCAGAACCTCCATTAATGGCACCACCTACAAGAAACACACTACCACCCAATATGATGACGTTTCTCCGACCAAACATCGTCGTAACTTTGCTCGCAGCAAGCGATGAAACTAAACCAGCTAGATACAAAGAAGATGTAAATAATGTCAACACTTGACTGTCATACACACAATACATGTTCACTTGGGCTCCGGCAGCCTTTCTTAGAATTTCAGGGAAGAATTTTTGAAGAAACGGCACCATCGTTGTCACGCCTCCTAAATAAATGTCAACAACGATTTCTACGTTAACGCAATTCATTAGTCATTTACAGAACTAGTTAAGGGGATAAAAAATAAACAAACCTGAAACTCCGATGTCATAGCCGAAAAGAAGGCCGCCGGAAGCAGCAACTATGCAGGTAATGATGATGGAGAGTGTTAACTTGCCACCAACGTTGATGGCGGTAACCGGTGTATCGACGGAGAATCCTCCTCCAGCCATTTTGGAACCTTGTTTTTGGTCAATGGATTTATCTAGTTCTAAGGTTCTTATGGCTGAAAGACTTATACGTGTGAATCTTAGTGAGTAGGGAGGCTCATAATTAGAAGTGGGAAAACTAATTTATAGGCTAGGGGTTGCATGCACGATTATGGTATATTTTATTTTTTTCTGTAAAAGATCTGTCATTCTATATTTTGTTTGATCATGCACGCCAACTTGATTAGTTAAGTTTGATTAACTAATTGCTCGTTAATCTTGTGGGACATTCTTTAAGAGCAAATTGATTATAAAGAAGGTTTTAAATAATTGTGGCGGACATTGCAATCTAGTAAAGGTTTATACCTCAGTCATAAAAAAAAATTGTTTTTTAAAATCCTTTTATCTAGTCATGTGAAGAAGATCAATATCATCATCTGTTAGAATTTTTTTTTTAGAATAACAAATTATTAGTTAAAAATTATCAAATAAAAGCAAATTTCAAAAAATTTCTTAAACCAACTAAGTTTCGACATCCAGTCGTCGTTTTGATTGGCGACATTGTTGTACTCACGTTTTGGGCTTGCACTAAGTCGACATAAGGATCGGCGACGGTGAAGAAAAGTGGCCCATATCGCCATCACGATTGGCGAATCAGTTGATTGTTTAGGGTTCCTTCATGTTTTACTATATTATTAATATTTATGAAATAATTATTATGTTTAAGTTATAAATTTTTAAAAAAATTTAATTATAAATTAATTTAAATACAAAATAAAAATTTGATTAACCATTGAATTATAAATTGATTTTAAAGCATTGAATTATAAATTTAATTATAAACTAATGTAAATACAAAATAAAAATTTGATTAGCCATTGAATTATAAATTGATTTTAAAGCATTGAATTATAAATGTAATTATAAATTAATTTAAATACAATTTAATTTAAAATCATATAAATTGATTTAAATTATAAATTTTAAAACATAAAAACTGATTAACAATTGAATTATAAAGTGTATAAATTTTGTAAGGGTATTTTAGACATATCATATGGGGCACGTACTATTCTATTTTTCTATAAATATACGACTGCAAACACATATATGTTTTCACAACATTGTATACCAAAAGAATACGTTAGTGCATTTTGAGTGGAATGGAGTCTAGAATGTCTGCATTTCTAAATCAACGTTCTTCGTCCTCGTCATCAGCATCGGAGGAGCCCTTTCCAACATTCGATATAATGAAAAGAAATGTCCTAGTTGTCTTTTCAGCAACAAAGTCTCTGATGAAGGTGCTCTTGTGAAATACGCAGACGTTGGAGCACTTGCACAGGGAACTGAACCGCTGGCTCGAAGGAGATATTGGTCCAGGAGAAAAGATTAGGAAAATTGAGAGATTGGTCGAGGAGACCGGGAAAAACGAAGTTACTCGTGAACGGAGAAAAGTGGAAAATGATGTCGGTGTCCTTGTGATGATGTTAACACCGAAGAAGATAAAGTTGATGGTCGTGATATTGTAGACGCCTTGGTGCAGTGTTCTGTTTTATGTCTTTACGTTGTTGTTATGTTTGTTTAATTTATGTTACCTTGGTGCAGTGTTGTGTCTTTATGTTGTTGTTATGTCAGTTAAGTGTGATGTAAATCAAATGAAATTTGTTATTGATTTAAAGGGGCAATATTACATATGAAACTATGATCTGCTACTTGATCCCACGTTAGGACATTTGTACGATTGTGACCTGGTTGCCGACACGAAGTACACAACCTTACCAGCTTATCTGCGGTATCCATCTCTGCTCGAATGCGCGTGCTGTTAGGCCGACCCTTTTTCTTTCTGCGCATCAAGTCATTATGCCACACAATTTCGCCTTCGTATTGAGGCCAATAGTCCTCTTTTGCCACCACCTGAAAGCTGCATGTGTAGACATTGCATAGACTTATCACTCGGTGAACTGCAGAAAGAAGGTTGGTTGGGTCTTGGCACGCCTTCGAACACGCTGCTATGACATGAGAGCAAGGCAAACGGAATGCTTGAAACTTTCCACAATCGCACCAGCTCTTATCCAGTTCAACACGGTAACATCCCCTAGGCCTTCCTTCGTTGTGATCAATAGACTTGGCAACACTAAACCAACCAGTTGTACGGTCAAAGATTGTGACCACGTGTGTGTTGGCTTTGACAGCTTCCTCTTTCATGAAATTCATTGAAGTATCGCTGTACAGCTGACCCGATTGTAATACTGAACCCCACTTTGTACGTCTACTATCAAAGAGTGATCCTAGCCGAAATTAGGTTGCCCTTACCAAGGCAGTTATTGGGAGGTTTCAGATTCCCTTAAAAACATAATTCATTGACTCGACGAGGTTAGTTGTCATGTGGCCCCATCGCACCCCATTGTCGTATGTCCGCGTCCATTTCTCCCTATCAATGTTATCAATCCATCTTAATGCATCTGCGTTTGTTAGTCCGATCTCGTCGCGGTAGTATTTGAATGTGGGTTCAGTTAGTGCATATCATGCATTCACAACCTTCTTCCGTAACGTCTTGTCTTTGATTTCCCTCATGAAATTTTGGGCAATATGCCTTATGCAATAGACGTGGGTCGAGGGTGGATCCTACCAACCGTTGTCATGGTTGTTGTATGCACTCTCGATTGGTGGGTGTCGATCAGAGATTAAACATAAGTTAGGTTGGGAAGACACTTAAGAGCGGAGATTTTTTAAGAAAAAACTCCAACCCCCAGCAGTCTCCTCTTCTACTATAGCGAAGGCTATTGGAAAAATGTTGTTGTTCCCGTCCTGTGTCACAGCCATGAGAAGTGTGCCCTTATATTTCCCGTATAACCATGTTCCGTAAATTTGAATTATAGGTTTACAGTATGCAAACCCTTTGATGCACGGTTCAAACGCCCAAAAGAGTCTGTGAAAAATTCCATTTCCACCAACCCAAGTCCCGTATGGTGTACATTGTCATACCCTAAATTTGTCCTACCCTTCTATTCTATTCCACTAGGTATTTATGGGGATGTGTTTTTTGTTATCAATGATCATTTGGTTTCTGGATAAGATGTTCGAAGACTTTGCTTAGAAAGACCCCGAGTGTGCTTTTAGTGATTATGACCCCTAGTAAGTTGTCGGTGATTCTTGTGGAGATAAAGGAAAAGCATGTGTTCTTTCTGAGGGGTGATTATTCAAGACAATATCAGTTACTCTCTAGCCATAAGCCAGGATGAGTGATTGATTAAATCCGAGACTTGACCTAATATGTTGCAGGTTGGTGTTAGGCCGTGGGATTTAATCTTTCGAAGAGAAGACAGTTGATTTTAGGATGATTTCAATATTTCATTACTTCAAGTGGATTCTATGCCATTTTCTTTCAATCTTGGATTTAACTAGTTTCAAGTCTTCATTCAATTTTTATTCCAAAATGATCTTGAGTTACATTTTGAGTGATTCTTTGTTTTAACCGGCATATGCACAAGACATGTGTCTAATTTTTGAAATGCTTGGAAGATTTGCGGGTTGTATGGAATGTGTTTCAAAATGGACTGTCTTTCTCCTTCAAACTGTAAGATGGTGATTAATTAAGTTTCATGGGAATCTTTTTCCAAGACAGAACCAGCTAAGTGCATATTTTAGCTCACCTTTCATGTTTAAATCGCCCTAAGCCAGGTAGACAAGTTCTCAAGGCGGATTGCAAAAATGAATAAATCACTCCCAAGATGTTTTAAGGCTAATTTGTTTGCACTAAGCAAAACTATGTGAAGCCTACTTCAGGTTATGCCCAAGTTGTGACAGGGCGTAAGTTTCTTGCCAACTCTATGTCATAAGCAACTGCCACAAGAGTACCCAAATTCCATACGAGACATAATTCTTATTAGTCAGGAAAATTTCAACAGGTGAAGTTCCCAAGTATTAACAGCCAGCAAATACAATGGCCGTAATTCATATTTACTTTGACAGTGATTTTAACATATGCATAAGAAGGTGATACAAGATGTACAATCTGATGTACAATCTACAGGCCTTGCACTGCAGGGTATATCCAAGAGAAAAGAGACATTACAAATACAAATTGATCAGTTTCAAAACTAAGAGGCACAAAACAGTGTGAAAATGGGAACTCATAGAAGGAGAAACAAAAAAATAAGATTCATCTTCTTCTGATAGTGAACATGACTCCATCACCAAAATGGCGAAAACAAAAGGTGACGCTGTTGTCATTTTGTCTTCTTCATCGCATTATGAATCACCAGAATGAAGTTGCAACTATAACAGCTTTTCACATACTCGCAAACCAATTAGGAAATGGATGAATATCAGTGAAATTACCAAGGAGTTTGCAAAAGCCTTTACTCTGAAATTCGATTTGCTTCATGAATGCAACTTGCTTCTTGTCCTTGCCTTGCCACCTTTAAAAATCATACCCTGCATCATTTTCAAACATAAGTACAAATCAATTTGAACACCATTTACCACCGTAAAAGTAAAAAAAGAAGTTACCGCAATGAAAACCAATTGAAGTTTTTTACCTCACTACAAACAAAAGAGGAGATTGAGTGAGAATCATTCCACACGGCCCACCATGTTTTGAGAATACCCTCCAAAGTTTACATAAAAACCATCTGCTTTCAGAGCAAAAGGCAAAAAAGAGAACCCTAGCCGCTACAGCTCTCAGCCTCCTAATCCCTTCAGCCTCCAAACCTTAAACAAGAAACCCGAATTCATCCAACCATCCACAACCGCCACCTTCTCCAAGTCCTCATCATCCAACCTTCATCATTAACACCCAATCTTCATCTTCTCAAACTTCCCACCATAACCAAACAACCCAAAATTTGAACTTTCCTCCAAACCTCCTCCATTTTTTACCAGAACATAAACACCCATCAAACATCATTAACAACCTGCGACAGAACTCGCCCTTCCCTCCCAACTACGTACCCAGAAATCTCCATGGATGATCTTCAACAACATTTTTTTCCCAACACACTCCAAATAACAGCTTCTATAAC